TTTGAACTCATCTATGATCACGTCCCTGCTGATCACAATCTTCTTGTTCTCCGGATCGAACAACTTGTAGCCTCCTGTCGAATGATATCCAACTAGGATCATTTGACTTGACTTGTCATCAAGTTTCTTTCTCAACTGATCTGGCACATGTCTATGTGCAATAGATCCAAATACTTTCAGATGACTTAAGCTAGGCTTCACACCAGACCAACATTCTTCTGGAGTAATTCCTTCTAGCTTCTTTGTAGGACTTCTGTTCAAAATGTATGTTGCAGTCGAAACAGCTTCACCCCATAACTCTTTGGGTAAATTCTTGCCTTTCAACATACTTCTCACCATGTTCATGATGGTTCGATTTTTCCTTTCTGCAATTCCATTTTGCTGTGGAGTATAGGGTGGCACCACCTCATGCACAATCCCTTCTTTTTCACATAATCTGTCGAAATCTTTCGACACATATTCTCCTCCACCATCAGTTCTCAAAACTTTGAGCTTTCGACCACTTTGTCTTTCGACCATGGACTTGAACTTGATAAATACTTCGAACACTTCACTTTTCTTCTTGATCAGGTAAGTCCATAGCTTTCGACTGAAATCATCTATGAATGTAACAAAGTATTTGTTACCTCCCATCGAATCCACCTAAATTGGTCCACATACATCAGAGTATATGACTTCGAGATTAGCCTTCGATCTGCTTCCTGCATCCTTGCTGAAGCTGTTCTTGTGTTGCTTCGCCTGCACACATTCTTCACATACTTCGTTTGGAATGTCAATTTCAGGCAATCCTGAAACCATATTTCTTCTCTTCAAATCTCTGATGTCTCTGAAGTTGAGATGGCCTAGTCTATAATGCCATATCCATTCATCTCTGCTAGCTGTAGTCGAAAGGCATTTGTGCTCCATCACATTTAGTTCAATCTTGAAGGTTCGATTCTGAGACATAGGAGCCTTCAAGATTACTCTCCCATTTGCATCAACAACTCTCATCAACTTATCTTCGATTGACACTTTATAGTTCTTTTCGACCAACTGCCCTATACTGAGCAAATTGCTCTTCATGCCTGGTATGTACAATACATTCGAAATTACTGACTTCTTGCCATATTTCCTCATGATCATAACATCACCAATACCTTCAGCTGCTAGGGTGTTGTCATTTGCAAATTTTACCAAATTTTTCGTTGAGGGTTTTATGTTGATGAACCAGTCTTTCCTTCCAGACATATGTGATGAACATCCTGAATCCAAGTACCATTGGTCCTTGAATCTATCTTCATCTCTTGTTGTGACCATCAGCATCATCTCTTCTTCTTCTTCATGTTTTGCCAGCTTTGCATCACTTTCTTGATTTTTTCGTTTTTCTGGACAATCACTCGAATAGTGACCATATTTCTGACAATTGTAACATTGAATGTGACTCTTATCAGGTTTTCGACCACCACCTCTTCCTCTGTTTGCAGCACCACCTCTTTGGTTGCCTTGGTGTGGTCTTCTTTGATTCGACACGTCTCCTTCGATTTGGTTTCCTCTGTCATTCGATTTGTTGTAGCCACCTCTACTTCTGTCGAAATACTTTCCTTTGCCTTTGGTCTCTTTTGCTGAATGTGCCTGCAAGGCCACATCACTCTTCGATTTTCCTGCAGCTCTTTCGTTCATTCTTTGTTCATGGGATTCGAGCGTCCCTTGAAGCTCTTCCTTTGTCAATTTCGACAAGTCTTTCCCTTCTTCTATCGCCACCACTATGTGGTCGAACTTAGGGGCTAAGGATCTCAGAATCTTCGAAACAACAGCTCTTGTTGTTAATGTTTCTCCACATGTCTTGATTTGATTTACTAGTTTTGTAACTCTAGTGAAGAAATCAGATATGTTTTCACTGTCTTCCATCTGAAGCAGTTCATAGGTCCTTTTGTGAGTTTGTAACCTCACTTCTTTCACCTTCTCAGCGCCTCCAAAATACTTCTCCAGGATCTCCCAAGCTTCTTTTGCAGATTCTGAATCACCAATCTTCTCGAAATTGTCTGGACTGACACATTGATGAATTATAAACAATGCTTTATAACTCTGTTTCTCAGATTCTGTATATTTCTTCTTTTCTTCTTCTGAAGCGTTTTCGCCAAGCGCTTCGACTCCATCTTTTACAAGGTCCCAAAGGCCTTGACACCTTAATAGGACTTTCATCTGCTTGCACCAATTCTCATAGTTGTCAACTTTCAGAATTGGCAGCGTTGCTGGATAATTTGCATTCCCATAACTTGTCATCGTGAATTCTTCAATCGTTCTTGATTGATATTTCCCTTGAATCGAAACACAAGCTCTTGATACCAGATGTTGGAAATCCACCAATACTCTATGATGAATTTCGACCACCACTGATGATTAGTTATGAAACAAACTAAGAAAAGACAATAGAATTATTTCTGCAGAGTTTCTCTCTGCCCACAAACTGTGGAAACTTTATTAATTCACTTTGCAACTGCAAAATACTGTGAATGAGTTCAATGACTTGAATACAAAAATAAGGGGTTACTCCCTCTATTTATAGATTTAGGTTAGCTTGCTCCATAAGCTAAAACCCAAGTCCAAAATATCTCTTTACTAAATCAAATCTAATCTAGATTTAAATTCAAATATATTTAAATCTAAACAAATCAAATATTCTTTTTGACACCTATGAATTACAATTTAACAGACCGAGACCCCCTTTTCATCACACTTCTTTCGCTTCAGAGGTTTTTCCAACAATCTCGATATTCAAATATCAAGATTACATGCACAAAAAGGATGTTTATGCTTGTTCTTCACCAACGGTTTCTCTATTAGTTCTTTAGAGGTAACATGACTACCTCAACATCCTGTATGATTGTGATGAAGAGACTGATGTCTCTTGCTCTTTTGATGACTCGGAGATCTTAGAGTAGCATCCCTACAAGATGTTGTCGGCTCAAGGACAGTGGTATAATTATTTTGGGAGGCAACTTTCAACACTGTGTTATCTCTTGGATTCGCGTTAGGCATGCTTTCTTCAAGACAGAACAATCTTTCTGCTACTACTTGTGAGTTTTGTTATCGAACCATGTTATACACGTTGTTAAACAGTTTGTTTATGACTTGTACGACGAGGTTGAATTATAATAATTGAAATCCAGACAGTGTATATGGTCTCGATACCACCAGCGGTACTAGAGGCCTAAACGATGGTTCAATTTGCTGAAATCGCAGAGCAGATCCTACGAATAGAGAAGGTTGAACGTGATGACGACTAATCAAGAACATGATGAAAATAATTAAATTGGTTATTTTAATTTGTTTCGTAATAATTTTATTTAATTTTAATTTGGGATTGCAACTGTTTTAATTTAGAATTAGTTGATGTTATCTCCTTACATTTATTTTAGGAAAATATGATGCGTTCTAATATGCTCCTAAAAGGTGGTGTTTATGATCCACTTAGGTTCAGAATAACTCTTACTATAAGTAAGCATTTTGTAACCTCTTTCGAATAAGTTTGGAATGAATTAAAATTTCCTCTCAAGAGAAATGTGAGTGAACTAAGTCTCTTCTTTTTGGTTTTTGAATTGGAACCATAATTGAATTTTATCAATGACTTCTTTACTATTGTGGCGATTCTTCTTGACTTATCAATCTCCATGATTGTGGCACCTTCATTCTTCACTTCTTCATCTCATCCATATTTTTGTTCTTTATTTTCCCTCTTATATGTCATTTAGTTGGAAGAAAGACACTTGATTAGATCTTCATCTCATGTGGAAGCATACTTCTTCCATATCACATGATATGGTTTTGCCAATAATTCTGATTATGATTCAGCCTGTTTATTTATCTTTTATAAGATCAAATATAAAATTAAGTATATATTATCAAAATAATAAAATAAAATAGTATCGCACGCGCTCACACTCATATACACTTCAATTTGTTTTAAAAACTTTTATCCTTTTCAAAGCTTCCTCTGAACTTGTACGATCATGGAGTTCAAGTATCTTGCCAAAATAACTGTAAAACTTGTAACATAGTACAAGTTGCTGCCTTGGTTTTGTACTCTTTACTTGACCTCTGAATCTTGTAACTCACCGTACAAGTTGCTGCCTTGGTATTGTACTCTTTACTTGACCTGCTGTCAATGTCACAGGTTGATACAGGTTGTTAGCTTTGGTTGTTAGTTATATTTAGAATGATGCTATAAATAGCATCTTTTAACCAAGTAGAATTCAATTCAGTTTCCGATTTCAATTAATTGAGTTTGTTAGCTTTTCCATTTTCTTCTTTTTTTCTGTTATATTTCTTCCTCTTGATGAAGAACTTCAAGAATTCACATCAAGAAATTCAATTGATAATCGTGCTTTTTTAACTATCTTTACTAAACTAAAATTTTCAACAACCAATTTTGTCGAAATTAATTGCAAAAAAAATAGATGCAATAGGCAAATAAAATTGGTCAGAGGTCCACATTAAAAGATGATATAATGTAAATAATAATAAATACAAAGGTAGTACAGTTTAGAAGCCAATTTTGTGAAGATGAAATACTAACATGCTCCATGAGGTAGAGTTATAACAACCAATAGATAATTGAATGGTTACTAAGCACCAACATAACAAGTAGATATCACATAAATGTAATGATATTTATTTTACTTCTAATTCTAAATGGAGAAAGAAAATTTTTCCAAGAAGCATTTTAGATTTTTCATGCTATATAATTTACTACTAAATATTTAACCATGATCATCAGAAGGATATATCATGCCAAAATTTCTTGATCTTGCCCTTCAAATTTGCTCAGTTTTCAATTTGTTTTCACACCAGAGCGACTGACCAACCGAAGATTTGGCGAAACTGAACAAATAATCAATCTTCTGATGACCAACTTAGATGAGATCCTACTATTAAAAAGAAATCATTATAATTTCTGTACTTGATTTCACCCTCCTCTATTGGGAATTCATTACCGCAAACATTTTTTATTGTATATATACTCAGTACTTCTGGATATAACCAATGGAACTGATTCGAGACCGCATATTGTGATGATCATAGAGAGAATCGCCATAATCCAGAGGCTTGATAACTGCAGACTCCTTATCCTGTTCCTGCACTGCACCAAATACTATCTCATTGGTTTCTTCGCGACTTTGCTCATAGTAGGTGTGAGAGACTGATGAATGATACTGATGACGAAAATGATGTTTTTGCAGTTGTTGCTGCTGAAGATCTCCATCCCATCCATTGTACAGATGTTTTTGTTGTTGTTGTTGTTGTTGTTGTTGATGCTGCTGAAGATCACCTTCCCATCCACTATAGAGATGTTTTGGTTGCTGCTGTTGTTGTTGTTGTTGCTGAAGATTGCCGTCCCATCCATTATAGAAAGCTCGACCTTGCCAGAGTTGTTGCATTTTTTCAGCATCTTTTGACATGAAAGGATATGTTTTCTTAGGGGTTGGAGTTCTCGGGTCAATAGAAGGGGGCTCGTCTTCATTTGGAATTACAAAACTTTCTTGCACAGGCCAACCATTTACTTGCTTTTCAGGTTGATGAAATAAGGGTTGGCTTTGAAATTCATAGCCTTGCGGTTTTTTCTTGAAACCCATTATTTCCACTACTGATGCCCCAGCATTGGTAAGAAGCTTCCCAATGGATCCAAATAGACCTTCTTCTTGCTTATAAGATTCATCTTCAGATGGAATCAAAGGAGGCCTTACATATTTCAACGGCTTTTGGTATGGACTCGGTGAAATGTCTGACATTACTTGGCCCTCAGCCTACATAAGCATGAGAACAATTATTGGCTGAATTTTTCTATCAATCACAAACACGAAGACAAAAACACAGGACACACACATACACACCAGTAATAATTTTAAAAATGAAAGTAATTGGATGTAACCAAATGTGGTTTAGTGTCAGTGTCGTACGCCAGACAAACCATTGATTTGAAGTGTCAATGCTACATAGACTATATTCATCTTATTTAATATAATATAATGCATCAGAAAGCAAAGGACAAGACAAAGACTCACATGAGTCACATCTTGAGATGCGACAATTGTACTTAGTCGACGCTGCAGCAATGCCAGCATATAACCAAAGAAGCCAGCTCCAACAAGCATTGCAATTCCTACAAAATGAAGGCAAACACATTGTTAATTTGCAACTAATAAAGACTCTAAAGATAGACTCTGAATTGATTCAGTTTACCAAGTGGAAATCCACTTTCGTATTGATAAGCACAGTCATCAAAGCGCAGTTGGATCTCCCGAATGGCTTGGTTTCCCCTGTCAATAACAAGTAGGGAACAACTACTTCCCACATAGACCACATCAAAGTCATTAGAGAATTTAGCCTCTTCACTTGGTCCATCAACATGGCCACCTCCACGGCTTAATTTACCTCCCGCAATTGTTGTGACGCCTGAAAACAGATACTTTAGTTCAATAAAATGTTCTAACTCAAACTCAAATGTCAGAAGTAGAACGGCTTTATAATCAATGCCATGTTTGGATAACTAGTTTAACTGAACATTTATAGCATAAGCGCCTCTCATATAAAGGTTTACGTTTAAGTTATTTCTATAGCAAAAGCTAAAATAATGTCAAATTGTTTTCACATGACCTATAAGTCGTTTTCATAAGCTATCCTGGAGAACTTATGAACTAAGTTGGAAACAACTTATAGACATGTCATAAGCTGTTTCCATAAGCTCTCTCAAACATAAGTTGGAAATAACTTATAGACATGTCATAAGTTGTTTCCATAAGATTAATTAAAGTATAACACAAAGCTACCTGAATCGCTAATTTTCCTAATTGCCATATTCATAATATCTGCAACATAGATATTTCCTCGGTCATCAACTGTAATCCCCTTTGGATGGTTCATCCTAGCCTCTCTTAATCTTCCATCAACATGCCCTGAATATCCTTCCGCCGATCCTGCTACTAGTTTTGGTCTGCTATCTGTCAATTCGTAATGTAAAACGTAAATGTTATTTTTGAAGTGAAGAAAACATACACATGCCAACAGTTTCAAGTAAGGCAGATAAATCAAATTAAGAAAGTAGTTAATAGTAAGCACAAACACCAGAAACACGACACTAACACAACCACAATGAACACCGATAATAACTTAGTAATTTGAAAAAAATGAATAAATTAAACGTAATCACAAGCGTTCTCTAAAGTGTCGGTGCTACAGAGCTAACAATTAGTGAGATCATAAGATTAAGCTACAACATTAACACACTTACACAAAGAAAGTGAAGATGAGATCTTATAAATGTTACTATTAGCCGAATCCAGAACCAGAAGCTCTCCATTAGACAAGACCTCAACTGCATAAGGCTCAATTCCAAGCTTGCTTCCATCAAAGACAGTTTCCACAGTGTATCCACTCTCAAATTTCATCATTGACTTCCCAGCAACCGCTGTCATTCAACAATCAACGTTTTCCAATTCCACATCACAATGAAAAGAACAACAGAAAATGATAGATTGTGATAGATCTGTACCTTTTTTGGTGGTTGGTTTGAGAGAGAAAACCCATTTGGTGAAAGCAGGAACAGCATTTGAGAGAAACCCATTAACGATTTCTAAAGAAAGAAAGAAAATTTGAGTGTAGAAAGGTAAAAGATGGATTAGTAGTTAAAGAGAAGTTGGTATGAGAATGAATGACTTACTTGCAGGTGAGATGGTGGAGGGTAATGGTGGTGCAGCTGAGACATTTGTGAGTAGAAGCAGAAGAGAGAAAGCCAGTGCAAAATGGAGGTGACCCATTTTGGTTGAAGCATTCACAATGAGATTCGGGAGGTGGGAAATTGAAATGAGAAAGAAGAAGAAGCTAATTCATGGAAGAAAAGAGGACGAGTCTTTTTGGATGAAAGGGAAAGAGTGGGATTTAGAGTGAAAGGAGTGTTGTGTTATGTGTGTGTGTGTGGTTGTAAGAGAAGAAAGGGAAAAGAGAGAAGAAAAAGGAAGTGAAAATTGTGGGTCCGTTTCATTAGAGAGAGAACTGTTAACCGCCATTAATATCTTTAAATATAGATTTCGCATTCGATGTGCTTATGCTATGTATGCTAATCATGTCTACATATATATTATAAAATAAAAAATTCTCATTAAGAAGGAAGTGATATATATATTTGATCTATATTTTGAAGCGGTGGGTGAAGCTAGTTTACAAAGTTAACACTCTAATACTCAATTTATCGAAGGAAATGAATAGTAAATTTTTAAATGAGAGTGAATCATATATGAAATGAAATGTTAATGATGTCTTTTATATAAGAGTTTGTTGGTAACTGAAATACGAAGGTAGCGTGGAATGAAGATAACAGTAGGATTGATCAGGCAACGAAAGATGAGTTTTGTTTTGTTCAGAAATATAAATGAGAAGGTGAAATTGTATTTGAAACCCTTTACCTGATTTTGGCGTCATATTTATATATAGTAGAAAAAATAACTAACCCACTATTAGTTAGGAGTGAATTGAGGAGAATCATTGGATGTTTTACAATCGAGGTCTTAAATGATCACTGGAATGATAATCTTCGCGTATTGGAAAGATTTTAGAAGGAGTGAGACTCTTATCTGACTGCTAGTCGGGATCTGTATGGTTGACATAAATCCATCTGGGATCGATCTGATCGGCCTATAATAGTTGCACCTCCCCCTAAGTCATTACAATTTTTAGAAACCAAAACTCTTTGAGTGTTGCGCGTGAGTGATTAGACATGTTTGGTGAAACTTTTTGTCCTCCATAGCATAGTTTTTCTTTTAAGAAAATAAGTATCGTATTCCCTTTTCTAAGTCTTCTTTTTTCTAGTTTAACAGTTTAACTGATTTGCTCTTCTGTCTTTTATTTCATGCAACTACAAAGTTAGTGCACTATGAACAAGAAATCACATAAGAGTATTCGTAAGTCTCAAAAGAATATTTCATTTTCTTGAATGGATTTTATTTATTCTTCCACTGCTTCTATTTTCGCCAAAAAAGTATGCGACAAATATGACACTTGCATCATTCCCTTTTATGAGTGTATTTTTTCCATCACATGCCTTCTTTTCTCTTTCACTGCTTTTGAGATAGAGGTTCTAAAACATCTGGCCATGGCTCATTTGCAACTTCACCCTTCATGTTGGGTATACATGAGATTCTATTAGTATTGGTGTGACTATGTGAGTGGAAGACCCTGAGAGTTCTTCTTCCTTCATCTTTTTAATTGTCTCTGTGACTCGACATCCTAAACTAGAGGTAGAAGATTACTCTGCCTCAAGCCGATCATTCATGGTTTCGAACCTCTTCTGGAGCTCCCGCTCTTTAAGAATTGATTCTTTTTAGCAACCCATGTCAGTCTTGAATCTAATGCTATAATTTATAACATAGGTAATGGAGTGGAGGGCATATGTGTCGACCTGTTCTCCAAGTATTGGACTGAGGGTCACTTTCTATTGGGGGATAACTTTTTCATATATAATGAAAAAGATCTATTTGAAAAGGCTCGGTATCAAAAAGGTTGATTGGTTAAGTTTATCAATAATCTAGGATATATAAGGGGAGTTACTCTGATGATAGAGGTTAATAAGAAACATTTAAAGCATCTCATTAATGTCCAATTGTTGATAAAAGCCTGCTCTCAAGGGGGGGGGGGGGGATTTTGGGTAAGCTTCAAACTTTGTAAGTTTTATGGTATTTTTAATTTGCACGTGTCTGATGTATACATTTACTCATTAGTGTGCAGAATGCATGGATAAGGAATAGTGGTCCCAACTTCTAAGGCGAGGAGTATGGCATGTCAAAAATAATGTCAATGCGGAGATCCCTCTGACTTCATCGAATGCCCATTGTTGGACTACTCTCCTTTTACTGATGGGATTATGCTCTCACTCTACTCAAGGTCGTTAAGCTCCTTCTCTGCTCACCTTTTACCTTCTCGAGTTCCGTATACCTTAGTGGAGACCTGTGTGAATCAGTCTATATATAACCACATAATTTCTCTCTTATGTTGCATGATCCCGCTTAAGGCAGCTTCAGTTATAGGCAGACGCTTATGGGCAATGAACTACGTAAAAATCTTTTCAGAACCCCGTCCAAGAATCAATACATTCATCGGGAAGACATTGAACCATAACTGAGGTTGTCCGATAGTGTTAGTGCAAACAATTTGCACTTGGACGCTTCATCAACATTGAAGTAACTCAGTCGGTCATCCATAAGTTGCAAATGCTCGTATGGATCCCCATTCTCGCAATAATCGCTCAATTTGGGTGGTTTCTCCATAAACTTTGGAATATTGCTCTCTAGTATTCTTACTAATAGTAGGTGCTTCGATTGCACCTTTCTCGGATGAGTTTTTGCTTGAGCTAGGGAATAAGAATGGATGCTTCAGTCTCTATAGGGGCTAGGAGGAGGAGTTTGATGATTCCTACTTCTACCTTGGTCCTTCAATTAAGGAGACTTGTCTCTTTTGTCCATGTTGGTTCCTGAATGGTAACACGAGTCTTTCTTGAAGTAACTTCTTGAACTGTATTTTCGCCGGAGGGAGCATTGTGAAGGATTTCTTCCATCCGTTGAAGCCTTACTTCAAAGGCGTGTGAATTCTTTTATCAAATGATGTTAAACATGTTGTTCAACAGTTCATTATCACATTGCGTATCGAGGTTCATCTAGAGAGTTTGGAGGCTAGGGAAGTCTTCAGGTTGTGTAATTGGAAGTGGAACAAGAGTCTCTAACAAATTCACTCGAATAAATTTGGATAATTACGAAGCTTGAACTAGATCTGGATGCAACATAACGACTGTTTTAGGATCTATAGTGTTTTGTTCTGAAGGAACAAGTGGTTGATTCCTTACTGATAGAGCAATGATGATAACTTCTCGTGCAGTGGTGGATCTAGTAGCCTTAGATCCAGCCATCGCCAATGAAAGTAAGAACTGAGAATCATGATATCTGAGAAAAATAGATCAAGATGACGTTGATTCAAATAAAAATTGATATATCTTCATATTTGAGTGCAAAATACATTCTCTAATGATTAGAAGAAATTATGAACTACAAAAAATGGAGAAAGAATGTGAATTTGTGAAAATCGTAGGAATCAGAAGTCGATTCCCATAAACGGTGCCACAGTTACATTCTGGAACCAAAAGTTAGAAGTGAACAATTTTGATGATGGATCATGACTTCTGAAATGGTGGAGTGGAGGGTCGTGTAAGGTTAACACTCCAATGCTCAAGTTAGTATATGAAGAAGAAGAGTGAAATAAAATTGTATTTGAAACATGTTACTAGATTTTAGTGTCACACACACACACATATGTGTATATATATATATATATATATATATATATATATATATATATATATATATATATATATATATATATATATATATATATATATATATATATATATATATATATATATATATATATATATATATATATATATATATATATATATATATATATATATATATATATATATATATATATATATATATATTGTTCTTGTGTAAAAACAATAAACGAGTAGCTTCCCTATAGGTATAGGGAGAGCCGCGATGAGTGGATTTTTGTAGATTATTTGGGGAATTTGGGAGCTACGACTGGGATGTGTATTATCCCAAGATGAATGTCTTTCTAATTCCTCTTGCGGGAGCCCATTTTATAGCCTTCATATTTCCCTCCTTTAAGAGCTTCATTTAAGAAGTATCCCCATGCATTCCTATGTTTCATACATTTATAGCATACGCCGTCAACCATGATTGGCGCAATTAAGCGCACATAACATTCTCATTAAACCAGGTGGTTATCGTCATGCGTTACGCTTGTCTCCAAGTTCCTGATCCTTCAAAGAGGTTATGGCGCATCCTAGGGTATCACCTAAGTAAAGGGTTGTATCCGGATAAGGCCTTCTATCCGGCTAATATGTTCTTGTTTAGGACGAGATGGTACGCAGATGAATTCACTACCCGGACTCTCTTTAGCTCCTACAACCATAAGTATTATTTATCTCTGGCGACTTCAGAACCCGGCCAGGGGAAATATTTTCGGGATGTACATAAGCCCCCGAGCATGAACCCAGCTGAGGGGATGAAATGTTCAGTCAAGAAGGATTCATAACATATTTCAAGCCAGAAACGGGTAATGAACACGGAATGTATTTATGCCTACATGGCAAAGAAATGAAGAGTTGTAACCTCTGAGTGTATTTCTCTCTCTTGGTGCAATGATGACTTTTTATGGGGAATTTATTTGTAGGCAAATGTTCCTTCCCCTACGATATTGTTCCATTGGGTCCCTATTTAAACCATATTTCCCCTTTTCTCTTTCATCTCAACTCAACATTTGAAACATTCTTTCTTCCCAGCAAATCCTCTTCAGCCAAAGCGTACATTTTTCTCAGGTATTTTCCTATTTTCTCTTATTATCTTTTATTCAAACTTTTCGTATTTCTTTAGAGAATAGTTACCATTAGAGAATGCGATAGTGAGGGTAATATTATGAAACCCAGAAATATCGAGGAAAGAAAAGATTTGTGGGATCAATGCACGTGTGAGATGAAGGGGGCTTTAGGTCAGGAAGGGTATGATCGAGTCATAGAAGAACTTTATAGTGATGTATATGCCCCTTTAAGTGATTCTGATTCCTCCTCTTCCTCCTCGGGTTCTATCGAGATGCGGATAGAGATGGTCGCTCATTTTGACGAAGAAGTGATGGGTTACAAGAATAACTCCTTCGACGATATAGAGATTGGCAAGCTCCGGTCTTTGAGGAA